TCTCAGTAAATCACTATCCCCCTGGTTGCTTGTGTACTACCAGTCACCTCATTATTGCTCACACTCACATCTTTGTAAATAAGCCCATCTTGAATTATCCTAAATTGAATGTTCTTGGGAATTTAATTGATATACTCTTTCATGTTCTACCACCTTCAGGTCACAGCAAGAATTTGCTGTTAACACACATCCAGAATTTTTCCACTTCTTTTCATTTTTCTACTACACCATCTGGGTGTAGAAACTGTAGTCACCAGTTACTACTCTCTTTACAAATTTGGACTTGCTTCCCTATAATTATTTCTGTTTCCAGCAAATAATCATTTAATATGTAAATCAGGTTGTTCACCCCTCATCTGAGAACCCTTTAACTTTCCAAACTAACTTGATTTCACTCCTTTATCCATGTTATACTGTTTGTTAAACATGGCAGACTTGCTTCTGCCTTAGAGTTCTCAACTAGCTGTTTTGCTTGGTTTGAAATGCTCTGAATTGTCTTTCCTTCATGACTGGTTATTTTTTCAGGTTTCAATCTAAAAGTCACATGCTCAGTGGCTTCCCTGACTACCCAATGAAAGCAGGTAGTCATAGTACCACATCATTCTCTGCATATAGTTCTTTGTATGGTATTGAATACTATACATTTTTATTTATGATTTTGTTTAGGAAGTAACTTACATGAGAGCAGAGTCTTCTTTTTATGTATACCTAGTACCTGTAACACTGCCTGACCCATGGTAGGCACCAAACAGATATTGAATTAAAACAGAGCCTTTTCTATGTCCCTGGGATCAGTAATGAATTAGGATACTTAAACCTGTAGGTTTTCTTTCCCGACCTAAATTCCTCAGTAAGTTCTGCTGAACAATGGCTACTCCTAGTTGAATAAATAAGTTGAGTTTATAACTTACAACTGAAATGTTTCATTGTACTTTGGTGACCACGTGTTGCTTTTTGTTTTTGTGCCTTGTTTTCTCTTCTTGTCTCCAAGGTTGGGTCCCAGTATACAAACTTCCACAAAGGGGCGGAACATTGCTGTGGTCTGCCAGTTTAGGTCATTAATAGCAATCACTAAAATCAAAAAGGAAATATGAAATTTTAGCAAATCAATGTGTGGAAACAGTCTCCTGTTTGTTCCTTAGAATGAATTTTTATTTTCAAAAATGATTTATGAAGTCATAAATTGCATTTGATAGTGCCCTAACTCCATTTGCAAGAAAAATGTCCTTGAAGAGAAAAACAATTTCCTTTCTGGAATACTCACTTAATGGAGCTTTCAGCTCCATGCTGTGTGGTGAAAAGTTACCATTCTTCTTTAGGTAAAAACATACTTTTTTTATATTCAAAATTAAGATATGTCCATTATGAAAAATTTAGAAAATAAACAGATTAAAACAAAAATCTGCAATTTTACCACTCAGAGGTAATGAAAACATTTTGGTGTTTATGCTTTAGTTACTTTGTATACAAAATGGGTTTATAATGTGTTGCAATCTTTTCAGCAGCTTTATTTTTTAAAGTCCATCATGACTAATGTTCTAATTCATCATACAGTTTCCAACTGCAAATATTCCACTCTGGGGATATTCCATCCTATATTTAACCAGTCACTTGTTAAATGAACATTCACATATGTACACACTTACTTATCCTTTGATGATGATATGCTTAGGAACGTGTCTTATAATTTAAATTGCTAACACAAAAATTTCATTAAACTATATGGCATTTGATATATACTGTTAACTTTAGTTTTCAAAAATATTGAAGGACACTGACAAGTATACAGGAATGTCCAGTTACCTGTGTCCTCACCAATACTGAATACAAGCTATTCTGTAGTTTTTTTTTTTTTTTAACTTTCATAGCACATTATGTAATACAATTTTAAAACATTAGAAGCCATGGTTTTTATCAAGTGAATATTATTTACAGTGACTAAGTCTATAAAATTAGAACAGGGTTAAACTGAGCAAAATATTAAGCCTTAAATTTTACCTTTGAAATGATTTCTGTATTCAGATTGTTTTTACAATATACTCATAAAAAAAAAATCAAACCAGTCATTGGAAAGCATGTACAAAAAATAGGTGGATTATATGTACAATAAGAACATACTGACTTAACATTTAAATTTGATTGACAACCCTAGTTCTAACGTTCAATGATTATCACAGCGCCAACACAGAATAATATAAAGTTTTAAAATTTAATCACCAATGTATTTAAACCATTTAGAAATTTAGAATAATATAGGCTAAATATCTGTGCCATTGATTTTTTTTTCCAGTTTTAAATCAAAAGTTTTGGTTTCATGAAGAAATTCTAAGCATGCTCAATATAATTTATCACACACTTTTTAAAAACCCAAGAAAAATTAAATTTTGGTATCAATATTGCTACAGAGGTTACAGTTTAATAGGTTCTTGGATGAATCTGGACGTGAAGTATACCTTTTACAGTGACTTTATGCTCGCCTGTTCCTGGGGTGGCAGTGATGTCCACATGAACAGATATCTGACCCACTGCGTCTTTGGAGGAGCAACCTACAAATAAGCACAAGTTTACCAGCCTGAACTTTCAGACTAATTAATAATGGACATCTACATTCTCTGCACAAGAGACATAATGTGTTACTGGAAATGAATAGTTCTTTCCATTAATAGCTTATAATAGGTGTTGCTAAACAGTCTCTAAGAGGCTTGGGTATCATCATATTTAGACCACTGAGCTAAAATTTCATATGGCCTGTAAACATCATAACATAACCTGTTACTATTGTTACAAGAACTTGCTGTTGCTTTACTGTGAACTTTATTAATTGCTTATGCACAAGGATGCATTATTGCTTTTTTCATTTTTTTCAGAACTTTTCTACAATGTATCATACCAGAGCACTGAGGACATAAAGGTGACTCTGTAGAGCACCTGCCTTCATGAAGCTCACAGTAAGCCAGGAGAGACTAAAATAAACATATTTTTGTAATGTATAGGGTCATAAGGTCTATAGTAGACATATTTACAAGGTCTACTCATGGCATAAAAAGTAGTAGTCAACTCTACCCTGGTTAAAGGCTGGTCAAGTGTTAAACATGTTATAATGGAAAGTGCCTGTGACTTCGGGTCAGATAAACTTGAATTCAAATCATAGTTATGCTACTATTGATTGTGTGATCCTAGATAATGTATTACATTCCAAAGCCTCAGTTTTCTCATTAAAAATTAAATAACGGCATTTTCTCATTAAAATGAAAATAACAGCAATGTCTTACTATGGATACATTTTTTAACACATAATCTATGAACACATTTTTTTTCCTTAACTTGAAGCACAACTATTCTTTACCTTACCTTTATTTTTCACCTAAAAATATATCAGGGAGGTCATTCCATTTCAGTATATAAAAAGCTGCCACTTTCTTTACATGGCCTGGAATGTCACAGCACTAACTAACTAGAAAGTCAATGTTCAAGGAATACTTTGAAAATAAATCACTGAGCTGTTTACAAATATTTAAGACATTAAAATAATGTTTGGTCTTTAGTCCATCTTATGAATGTATCATAATTCATTGTTTCTAATTCCTTGCTATTAAAATCTGTAAATTATTTTTCATATGAATTTATAGTACAGTTATTAAATGTGGAATATCTCTGTCAAAGTTACTTGGATTTTTAGTTTTGTCTCATAGAGATTGTAACCCTTTACACTCTCATTTGTAATGTATGACATTAATAAGAATCTTATTTTCAGAAAAACCAATGGCTAATTCTCAACGCAGAAAACAAAATACTCTGAAGGACTTCTAGTTTGCAACTGCAGAAAATCATCAGGATTCAGGTCAGAATCTTTCAGTTGGACCTGCTGAGAAGAGCATGTTCACCACAAGGACCTCCCTACCCCGTACATCGCCACGTGATGGTAAAAGGACTGGACGAGGTACGTGTGGGTTATGGTCTTAATAGGAATTGTCAAGCTGGGCCAAAGAGGCAGTCACCTCAAGGGAATGAGTGGTCAAGTCTTGAGCCTTGGAGGAGTCCATCAACACTTAGGGGAGCTATTTGGAAATGAGTCTCATACCAGCCAGCTCTATGCAGCTTATACTTCCCCAATGACAATAAATGAGTACAGCACCACTAAAGGCCACCACTGGCATTCACATAGAGTTGTCTGTCTTTCCTCCCTTCTCGACACTGGAGAGACTACACCAGGAGAAAGAGGAAAGGTACATGAGAAGACACACCTTCCGCATTCTATTCTTTCTACCACTGGAGGTACCATTTTAGTCTGCTTTTTGGAGAGAGGAGGAGAGCCTTGAATCAACGTGATTAAAGCTTTAATGTGAGCAGGACGAAACCTTGAAAATATGAATGATTTTCTAGCAGCACAAGTAACTAATACAGTATGAACCTGGACTGTGCTATCAGTAAGGGAGGCATCCATGCAGTAGAAAGTGGCACTCACAAGAGTTGATAATATTTTTTTTGGCAAAATAGTTTCATACCATCCCTGTGATACCGAATCTTTCTATTCAAGAATGGAATATAGCCTCCCATTTTACCCGGTAATAGAAA